AAAAATAAGCGCTGTAGGGTTACATGAATACTGATGGTCCCACAGCGATTATCTTTTCTTTCGAAAAAAGATTGATGAAAGATAGAGCCCATCAATAGTTTCGATCGGATTCGACATTTCTCCATGCTGCCTCTTCAAAGGAACTTATCATTTGAGCGTGAATTAGTCCTACATGGGAACCTGGGAACCAGAATGAAGGTTGAAAGGCTGTCCGTGGAGGATGTAGTGAACCCCGGACAGCCGAATTTCACGACTTTCTAATGTTGGATTTCAAAAAAAAAACCCTTTCGAGATTTACAGCATTCAGCCGTTTTTTTTAAGGAAAAAACTCACGATAGCTGCATGTAGGGCCAATTATAGCGTCCATTCCGTAATCTTGAATTAATTCCACAGTATAACCAACAGCCAATATTTCAGTGCATTGGTCAAATCGAACAGTGAAGCTTGAAAAGAAAAAGAAAATAAATGCGATTAAGACATTGCACTCGAAATTTCCCACTGTATTCTTTGCAATTGCAGTCAAGAAAGTTTTTTAAAATTTTTTTCCGGGAAACAGTTAATACTAAAGGATGCTTGCATCAGTAAAAGGACATCATCATCTATCGGAACATGGAATTTGGCAGTTTTCCACAGGTTTACCACATTTTAAAGGCTGAAATAATTACACTAGACGGGTAGGGAGGGTAGGGACCACTAAAAGACCACAATGCGTAAATAGTCTTTTGATTTGAAGTTCAAACTGATCAGCAGCTCTAATTTTTTTTTACCCGGAAACTTTCCCTCGAACATATTCATTATAAAAAATGCTCTACTAACTTGAATTCATATCCTGGCAGAAGATTCTCGTTTTTGACACGATCCCTCGCAATAAGCACAGCCGATGCCGAAGTCCTGAAATGGTATTCGTTACGGCAACAGGGAAACCAGTTTGAGATTCCAATGAGATTTACAAGAATTCAAATAAATCTGTTGATTAATAGCGTCAGAAATGCAGTTTCAAAGTTCAAATCAGTGCTTAAATCCTCCCAGGCGAGTATAGTATCATTGAATTGTTCTGGGAGAGGTGAAAGGCTTGTATGGCTCAGACAAATGATGACACGGGACTCGATCCTGCGACCAGGCCATCCAAGCTTTCCACTTCTACTGCGCCGATCTACCGTGCGTGTGTCAGTGCACCACATCCACCCTTTATATTAGGTTGTGTGGGAAGTATCAGGCAATGATCC